TTGGTAAATTTTTAGATTATCTACTAAAGGTGACATGGAAAACTGGTAATGGGTTGTCTGGTCGGGGGGAGAACCAGCGGTGTGGAGTAAAAGACTTTTTAATAAGGCCTATTGCCACAGTTCACAACTGCAGTCCTAGAGTGGGGAATATTGCTTGAGCGCAGAAGTTCATGACCAGACTGGGCAACATAGTTAGACACCATCTCTACAAAATTTTTTTTTAGAAATTAGCTGAGTGTGGTGGCACACTCTGCAGTCTCAGCTATTCAGGAGGCTGAAGCTGAGGGATCATTTGAACCCAAGGAGTTTGAGGCTGCAGTGAGCTGTGATCACACAACTGCACTCCAGCTTGGGTGGCAGAGTCCCTGACTCAAAGAAAAAAAAAGACTTTTCAATACGTATCCTTTAAATTATTCTACTTTGTGCATGTACTATTAACGATTCATAATCCAAACATTACAACTTAACGAGCAAAGTTTCCCTCTGACCTGTCTGCCTGCCACTGTTACTTCCTCTAAAAGACAAATACTGTTACTAATTTCTATGTCTCTTTCTAGAGACACGCATCTAATATTTCACCTTTTCACTTAAACAAGTACTTTGTAACATATGTTCAATTAATGGTGAATAAACAGCCACTGAAACTTACTCATCATCCTCCTCCTCTCGCTTGTGTTTCTTTTTACAGTGAACAGAAACACTGTTGAAACAAACAAAAATCAGTCAGTGGAAAAATGTACTTGAGACTGGTTTCAGTATCAGTATCCTCTTTCTTGCTACAATTATCTTGCTCATCCCCACATACCAAAACTTCCCTTTCCGAGCCTAGTGGGATGGGTACAGATCACAGGTCAGTCGGGTCAACTGTGGATTGCCCCGACTTACCTGGACATTGAAATCTCAACTTGCCGTTTTGTCAAGGTAATGGGAGACAGATATGGGAGGACCACACCAGGGAAAACGTCCTCTGGGCAGGAGCTGTGCTAAGCACTTTATTTGCATAATCTCACTAAGAGGACCCACTTCTGTCCCACGCTTGGCATGCTTCGCAGACGAGACACTGAAAGTTGTCACTAACAGCGGCCATGCGGAGGGGGCACCCAGACGGAGTCGCCCAGGTTCCAATTGGCAAAGACTCACTTCTCGGGGACGAAGTTGGGCCGAGGTTCGCACCGGACTCCTGGGCTGTGCGACCCAAGGCGACTTACAGTTAACGTCTCTGTGGATCAGTTTATCTGTAAACTGGGCTGCGAAGCTCCCGCGGAGGGTCGTGTGGAGGGAGGGTCAGTGAGCAAGCCACCGCCAGGAGCCCGAGCCCGCGCCCGCCGCGAGGGGCGCCCAACCTGCCCGCCCGCCCTGCGCCCTGCGCCCTGCGCCTGACCGGTCCTCACCGTCCGCGCGCCGCACTCCCGCCGGGGTTGCTGGGGACGACGCGGGGTCCCGGCCGCGGGGCCAGCTCGGCGCCATCCGCCCCCGGCGGGAAGGCCCGGCCGGGGAAGGGAGGCGGCGGCGGCTGCAGGAAGTCCGAGCTGCTGCTCAGGGGGAGGCCGCTGAAGGGCCGGCCGAGCGCAGCCATAGCCGGTGACACCAGGAGGCTGTGACCGCGGCCTCGGCCGCCCGTGTCCCCAGGCCTGGCAGCTGCAGCCACAGCGACTGCCGAAAGGCGCCCGCCTCCGAGCCCGCTCTCGACCCCACGTCACGCCTTCTAGAACCCTCCACCTCGGGCCACTCAGGAGCATGCCGGGATTTGTTGTGTGTAGAGGGCCTCTGCCGCGAGGGATGCCGGGCTTTGCAGTCCTTCCAGACTACAAATAAAATGGCTGCTTCTCCACCTCTTCTCTGGGGCTTGAGGGTAGCTGACTGGCCGAGCCTATGACTTCTGATCAAATCCTCACCTTTCAAGTTTCGTAACTTCTCTGTACCTCAGTTTCCACAGTAGTAAGATGAGATAATAATAGTACATATAATCATAGAGTTGCTGTGTGGAGTAATGAATTTTTTTTTTTTTTTTTTTTTTT